ATAGTATAGATAGAGACAGGCCAGCGAGTGGGGTCTGTGTCCACTGGATATTGTCTAGTGAATGCTTGGCGCGCACCTACCTCTGAACTGGTCCAAGTTGTGCTGTGTTTTAGTATTGCATGGTTTCGGTTTCACAATACCAGCAGCTGATGAGGTGAGGAAAAGAAATAGTCATAGATTTTTCTGTGTGTGGCAGCATTGTACAGTGAGTGCTGACATTGTCTGAAGTTTCACGAATTCACGGATTTTTGACGGATTTTTCAGTGAGTTTCATTGTTTGACAGATTTTTTTCGTCTATGAACACTCCCCGGGTATAGGGTACGATACATAACCCACATACATAATGATACATACATACATACATACATACGTACGTACGTACGTACGTACGCACGCACGCACGCACGCACGCACGCACGCACGCACGCACGCACGCACGCACGCACGCACGCACGCACGCACGCGCACACACACACACAACACAACACACACACACACACACACATACACACATACACACATACACACATACACACATACATACATACATACATACATACATACATACATACATACATACATACATACATACATACATACATACATACATACATACATACATACATACATACATACATACATACATACATACATACATACATACATACATACATACATACATACATACATACATACATAGACAGATAAATGGATAGATAGATAGATAGATTAATAGCTAGATAGATAGACAGATAGATAGACAGATAGATAGATCGTTAGATAGATAGATAGATGATAGAAATGTAGCTGTTGCTGTAACTTTGGATCTAACTCTACTTGTGTCGCTGTGACTGTAGCTATGACTATGGCTTACTATTATTAGGGTGTGTCTATGACTGCACATGTGACTGTGATGGTGGCTGTAGCTGTCGCGATAGGTATTAATTTAACGATTATCATGAATTGCAGCACGTTGTGCATACACAGTCTTCTTCATACCCGTAGTCGGCTCGTCCTGCGACGGCCCGCTGTGATCGTGACTGATCGCTTACGTACACATTGATTACATATACAATTGCCACTGCAATCGCTCATATTTTTTCTAGGGTGTAAAAGGAATCATCATTATAGGCGTCAGGATTATGTATAATTGTCAAGATCATAGCCTGGAATAAAGGTTACGATTATTCTCTCATACACAGTAGAATTTTCTATAATCACTATCATTATAGACGGCACAATTATTTATAATAATCATCATCATAGACGGAAGAATTGTTTTAGTTGTTATTATGATCATAGATGGCGCACTATATGCTATGATCGCCTATGATCGCGAATATTGATTACGATTAACATCTTCATAGACATCAGACTCATATGCCATTATCGTGATCATAAACGAGAATAATGGCCATGAGCATCACGACCATACACGACAGTCTATGATCATCATGACAAAAAATTATGGAGAATAATGGTTATGATTATCACCATCATAGATGGCAGAATTATCTGCGATTATCATGACCATGCATAAACTGAAATGATAGTTGTGATCATCATGATCATACACGGCAGTATCATCTCTGGGTATCATGATTATTAAAAGTATTAGGCCTATCTATGATCACCATCATCGGGCATCTTGCAGCATAGTGAGCGGGTAATTGCCTCGCTTAACGAGTTCTTCACGCTTATGCCTAATTGGTTCGGAAAAAATCTGCAATTTAATTATTTGCACGAAAGTTGGACATTCAATTATCGTGAAGGTATTCAGTTTTGCTGTCACCACTGAAGTTTCTAATAGCTAACAAATCTCATCTGTTTGCATCGATGTTTATAGACGTTAATTTACTTAGACAGTAATACTTTATATCCAGTTAAAAACCCTATACATTGTGCATACTTAATATTATATCTTCAGATGCAGAACTAAGGAAGTTTCGTTAATGTACTTTTAATCATACCTACTCTTAGATCACACAAACTCTATAATTATGTATATATCAAACTCCAATTCTAAACTCTAAACTTTAAATGTAAATGTCAAGCTCTATAATAACGGTGTGAGCCCATACAAATTCGTCGCTAGAGGAGCTTCGTTTCACTTACAATCGCAGAAAACGGCCACTCTAAATACATTCGGTTTTGGCGCTCAAAAACGTACTCATTATTGTACCTTCAGTTAGCCCAAGACTGTTGAGTATCTAGCTTCAGTACGCACCGGCTCCGTAGCGTCTGCTCTACGCCGTCTCGCCATCAAACAGGTCTCGTCTTCTCACTGCTGATTCCCGCCACGACATGCGCGTGCTGATCGCGGTACGACATCCGCATAGACTGTCCCCTAGCCAGTCTGCTGTGCACGTAAAAGCAGACAGCACGAGGGAGCTGATGATGGGTTAAGCCGCCGTGGCCGCACACTGTCGACAGCACGTAGCGAGCGAGAGTACGCGCGCACGAGAACGGGAGCTGTGGGGATTGTAGCCAAGCGCCGATTGTCGACGCTCGCGACGCGCTGTTCTTCCCGTATCAGAAGCAGACGAACACACTGAAATGCGGAAGCGGCAAAAAGAGACCGCACACACATGCACGCAGTCAGGCTCGCAAGCAACACGTACACGCGCCGGCGTCGAGGCGCGCGACATGTACAGTGCTTGCCGCGTGCGGTCAGCGTGTGCCTTTGTTGCGTCGTGGCGGCAGTTGCTATAAACAGGTGATGATGGTGACGTGGCGACCGACAGAGCCGCAAGGAGTCTGCACGAAGCGCATGCGCACCCGAGTCGATCAAAGTACAACGCAATCGAGGATAGGCGAGAGACGGGTCAGAGGCCATTATCATAATAAAGTGATCGTACATAAACACAGATTGTATTTACTACAAATGTATTGATGTGTATTTATTTTCTATCGAGCTGCAATTCCACGTAAAATCACATAAGACAAACGCAATCGACACCAATCAATTAGAAAAGCACTTCCTGTGAGTTTGTACACAGTGGCGTGCGTGCGTTACTGTGTGTTGCAGAGGAGCATTTGAATATTTACGGTATATTAGAACGGCATTTACGGCGGTAGTAAGAATTTGATAGTATATACAATAATTCATGTTTATTTGCATCATTTTATTGCATTTTATGCCGTTTCTGCATGTTATATTGAGTTTGTGTCTGCGAGACTGACAGCTATCCGGAGAACTGGGCAGTGATGGCAATACGTATATAGGAGAAGAGGTGTGTAGGAAATAGAGGGAGGCATGGCCAGTGGTTTTGTTATACCTGCATTTCAGGAGGAAGGAACACGATCCTGGTTATTGAGGAAATGTAGGATATCTAGATGCAAGAAGGTAGTGAATCGGGATTTGTGGAGAGATTTAGAGGGAAATTGAGAGGGAAAATTTAGATTCGGAAAGGAAGGTACCGGTACGTGACTCGAATACGGAAAATTCGCACTGGGGTACGCGATTATTTATTCCGCGAGTTGGGTCTTCACCTGATGGACTTTAAGCTATTAAGTAATTCGTTCATAACGCACAAACAGGTGAATGAGGATTTTACGGAAAAAAAGATTCAGTGCTCATTCCCAACGTGAGTTAATCCACATGTTAAGAGAGTGTCCGTGGAAATTACTTCTATTATCAAGAGTGCATAATAGAAGATTATAGATTATAGAAGATAATATAGTCTATTATGGACTTTTGCTATTATGCTGTGTGTGGAATGATATGTCCCATAGTTTGTCGTGAGTTTTATGGCATGCGAAGCAAATGTGAATATTATGCGAGGCCAATTTTCGTCAAATCTCGCTTATACCAAAGTTTGTTGTGCGCTTCAGAATCGCCACCTTCAGGAGAATTGGCGCTTAACTGAAGCAATGGCTGCGATAGATGCCATTTGGCATGCCTGCATGCGTGCCTGCGTGTGTGCGTGGGTGCGCATGAAATACGTTACGGAGAGTCATTCTGTGCATCATCTTCCGACAGCGATGTCAACACCGTTATCCGACACTTTATAATTAGTAGAGACCCAGGCATAAACGATCTTGCATGTTACATTAGTGTACTCAGCTAGAAGCTGCAGCGGACGAGAAATCTAATTTCAGATGTAACACGGTAGCCGCCAGAGGCAATAAGCATCTCATGTGATTCCACGTTCGCAGGCATGTCTAGACGACAACCAACACAATAAATGAGTGTGTATACATGTGTGTCTGCGTTCTTGTATAAGAACGCATATAAGAACGCATAGCGTACGCGCGTATAAGAGGTTGAATCAACTTGAATGTGCGTGCGTGTGTATATGTGCTTGATTGTGCGTGGACGTGTACGCGTGCGTGTTTGCGCGTACGTTTGCCTGTACGTGTCTGTGTGCGTTCGAGTAGGGTGTGGGAAAGCGATGGTGTGTGCGTTCGCGCTCGCATGTGTATGTGCAAGGTATATTGGGTACATACGCCTATTTGTCAGCGTCCATAGATGCGCGTGTCTACGTGTGCGCTAGTGTTCGTGCATGCGTACGTGACGGTGTGCATATATGCTTCAGGTTACGCCAGTGCTCAGCGCGTTTTACAAAATAAAAAACATAAAACACATATAGTTAATTTATGAGGATTTCATTCAACAGTACGGATCTTTGTACGGATCTTTTACACGGATATGAGTGAAAAGATGATTGTGAAAGTTCGTTCGAACAAAAACAAATTCGTTTGTAAGAAAAATGTTCGTTCAAACAAAAAATGTTCTAGGAACTACGGCAGCTAACACATACGGAAGCAGTGGAAACAATTTGAATCAACAAACGATGTTAACACGCACACATAGTGAACTTCCCTGGATCATATACAGATTTTTGCCCTCAGGGTACAAGTGCAATTTGCTTAATGAGAAATATCGTAAATATATCGATGCCAAAAAATGTACCACACTTCAAAATCAATTAATATTCGCCAATTTTAAAAGCCTTCCTTTGCTGTGAATTACATTCGTAGCTTTAGTTTCTAGTGTTATAATTCAACCTTTGGCATTTTGTTAACAATTTATATACTTCGTTCTTGGGCGGTAGCTTTTAAAAGGACATTGTAAAAAAAGAATATGTATGATCGACTAAAAAGAGTGACCGAACAGAAAAAAATCCGTATTAATAAAAACGGAGCCAAAAAAGAAAATTATATTTCTATATTACGGCAATACGGATCACAGCGTGTTAGTATGAACTAATTAATGTATCGCCTCGGCAAAGTCAATTCCGATTTCACACGACAGTTCGTTTTTACGAGGTAATTTTTTACATATGGGCTCATGCATGGTAGTATTTCGCACGCGAAGACGAGTTCATCTCTAGGCTAACGCCACACCCATTTACGCATAATATGAGGCAGTACTGTGTATCTGCACCTACGAGAAGGCATGATCTAGTACACTGAATTCACGCTCGTGTATGTATCTGTATGCGTGTGTGCGTACGTGCGTGCATGCGTGCGTGCGTGTGTAGGTATGTGTGTTCATGCGTGTTTGCGCGCACGCGTGTGTTTGGTTATTGCGCGTTATATAAATATTATCGCGTGAGTACTAAAACTCATTACCAAAATTATCATGTTTGCTTCTTGTTCAGCCTTTGGCGTTACGCAATAACATAGATTATCATTTAATTTCTACGTAAACCTTTTCAAATAGATTCTGACAATGTTAATATCCCGAATGAACTATGTTTTTCATGCCCTTTCGCAGGTGAGAGCGGGGAAACGCTATCACATAATAAAATTATACATGCATGCTACAAGGTCGGCATCTTTATCTTTCCTATCAAGCAAATGACTAAAACTGATTCTAAGCAGTTATGACGGGTAACGATGCTTGTTTTTCCTATCTGAACGAATAATGTACAAGAATTGTATATACATTGTTAACAAATGCCAAACTTTGAATTAGAACACTAGAAACAAAAGATACGACGGCAACTCACAGCAAATGAAGGCTTTTGAAATTGGCGAATATTAATTGATTTCGGAGTGTGGCATGTTTTGGCTTCCATATATTAATTTTATTATATTTCGCATTGAGCCAATGCCACTGATGGGCAAATATCGCTGATGCACCCTTATGATCCAGTGATCTTTACTGTTTGCGCGTGTTACTATCGTGTTTCCTTTCAAATAGTTTCTACTGTTTCCGCATGTGGTAGCTACAGTGGTTCATAGAACATTTTTTTCAAACTTTTTTTCGTGCGAACGAACTTTTACAAATATTATTAGCACGTAGGCTCCTAAAATAATCTCGCCCTGGAGATGACGGCGGCTGACTTGAATGTCAACGCATGAGACGTATATCAAACCCGTCATCGATTAGCGATGTGATCTGGTTAATTCAGATTTTTTCCCGCTTCGCCACATTATCGCTTTAAACATGACGACGCGTTCGACGTGGCCGACGTTCCTTTAAACGGGCGATCGATGGCAAATAGCAGCACGACGACGGGCTCGACGCAGTTTTTACGTATAGCGTGTGACGTGTCAATACGGCCGTACATCCTCATGCCGTGTAGTACAAGCGCGACAAACCACCATGAAACACTCGCAGTCATAGCTCCTAGAAAAGAAAAAGGAACAGAAATGCATGCACACGAAGAGAAAGGGGAAGAGGTGCAAAAAGAGGAAGCGAAGGAAGAAGAATGACTACAACGACGGCGCTAACCGTAACTGACCCCCAACAACCACTTCCAACTATAAAGTGAACCATAAAACTAACCGAATCCCTCATCCTAACCCTAACGATAACCCAACCCCTAAGCGTACCTATCACTACCACTGGAATATTCACCGCTGCCGCCGCCGCTGTCCCCGCTACCACCACCACCAACACCACCAACACCACCACCATCACCACCAACACCACCACCAACACCACCAGCAGCAGCAGCAGCAGCACCACCACCACCATCACCACCACCACACACGATCGTCACGTCCACCACCAACACCAACACCAACACCACGACCATCACCACCACCACTACCATTGCCACTACAACGACGACGACCACGACTACTACGACCATAATGACCACGACAACCACCACCACCGCCTCCACCATCACCACCACCACACCACCACCAACCACCAACCACACCACCACCACCACCACCACCAACACCACCCACCGCCAAACCACCAAACAACAACAACAACAACAACACAAACCAACACCACCAACCACCACCGCCACCAACACCAACCCACACCACCACCACCACCACCACCACACACCATACCACTAGACCACAGACCACAACCACCACACCAACGCACCAACCAACACCACCACTACAACACCACCATCACACCACCATAACCACCAAACCACCAACACACACCAACCCACCAACATCACCAACACTACCACCACCAACACATCGACGACTACCACGACCACTACGACCATGATCACCACGCCCACCACCACCACTACTACTATGACTACCACGACTAAACACCAACACGACCATTCTTCTACCACCACTACCACGACTACGGACAACTACCACTATGATTACCATCTCCAGGAAACACACGATCGCCACGTCCAGCACCACTACGACGACCACCACCAAGACCACTAGGACCACTACGATCACTACGACCTTACCAACGCGACGACGACCAGCG